TTGAATATCTCCATTGAACTTTTTTCATTTCAGTTACTTATATTTCAGCTTCAATATTTCTTTTTGGTTTTTATAGTTTCTCTCTTTATTTAAACTCTCATTTTGTTCCTGTAATGTTTTCCTGATTTACTTTAGTTTACTGTCCCTGTTTTTCTTTAGTTCTTTGAGAACAATTTAATATGGTTATTTTAAAATTTTCTAATCTATTATCCAGTATTCCATATGGATAACTTACATCTGTTCATTTTGGTCTTTTAATCAGGCCACCCTTCCATTTCTTTATATACTTTATGATTTTTATGTTGAAAATGGGACATGTGAATATTGTATCTGGTAGTTGTAGAATTTACTCTTCCTCTTCCCCAGGACTGCAGTTTTTCATTTTTCTTAACTCTTTGAAAGCTGTCATGATCTCTGCTCAGTGACATCTCTTAATTATTTTTGCAAAGACTGCTCTTCAAAACTAGACTCCATTCTACAGCCCATGTCCAACTAGTATTCTAAAGATTTTCTTATAGTTCAAGGAAAAGACAAAAAGCAAAACTAAACAAAAATCCCAGGAAACATGTGATTTTCTCACTCCTCAGGAATTGCTGCTACTTAATGAAGGATGCAGTTGACTATTTCGTGACTTTTCTGAACTACTTTCATAATATATGTGTTCTAATTCTGTTATCTCTGCAGTTAATCAGGGGCCTGACAAAGCTCATGAAGAGAAGAGAAAAAAAGAGAAGACAGAAAGAAGGAAAAAAGTTGTACTTTAATTTTCTGCCAGTTATTAGAAGCAGCTTCTGTGAGAGGGCTAAAAACCTATATTAATCTGCATCTCTCCCTCAGGACACTGCCAGACCATTTTAATTGTACAACCCAAATTCTTGGAGGACAAGGTCCCTACTGCCTGTTCTAGCAACAGTTAACTATTCTAGGAACAAAGGCTGCCATCTCCACCACCATGGTGGGTCTGAGGAATGGGAGATGGAACCTGTTTGGCACATGGGGCTCACAGAGGAAATATCAGTAGCTTGATCTTTCATCAAACACTCCCCTGGATTGCCTTAAGTTTTTGATTAGGTTCTAGAGTTCCAAAATAGTTGATACCAATTGCTCTTTCCAATATAGCTGTTATTTTGGAGGAGATACTAATGTTTAGAGCTCCTGCTCAACCATTCTGCATGCCATCCTACCCATTATTTCTTTATTCTTGCAGATTACTTAAGTGCTTAAAGATATGCCTAATAAAAGGGTGTAATTAATTACATCCCAACTTATTTCAGAAAGCTCACTTCCACAGTGATTTGCTGAGGAATATCTTAATATTAAAAAGCACATTTTAAAAAGTGAAAATGAGTTTGTTTGTTTTTTTAAAGCCAACTGTCTAAACCAAGAATAGCAAATCTTATCTCCTATGTGTCACTCTGATTGACTGACAATGTTTGCCTGGAAAGCTGTGCTGAGAGGATCTGAGGCTGCTCTCATGCTAAAGAAAAAAAAGTTTCATAATTGACATTTCAAGCTTAAAAGTTTAAGAGTCTTAAGAAAAGGTACTGTTGCCCTAATGCCACAAAATAAGAATAAGAGGTACAAAAAAAGAAATCACAATGTATGATCCAAAAAAGTAAATGTAATTAATAAGGAAAATGTTGTTAAAAAAGAAAGTGAAGAGTATAATTTCATTAATGTGGCTCAAAATACCATATTTTAATGTAAATAACATGTACTTTCTACGGTTTATATGTTAACCATTCCCTCCCTCTGGGAAGTATTTTTTGTAAATGTGCTATGCTAATATTTTTTTTTACAGAAACATGTAAAAAAATTGGCATAGCAGGGCTTATTTGACAAAATTATTTGATAGGACCATGATGAAAAGAAAACCTTCAACTAAAGGCCAGTTGGGGGGGGCGGGAAGCAAAGAGATTGTATACAAAAAGGCAGCTGAGATAAAATATGGGTTAGCATAAAATGTCAAAGAACAGATGATATATAAACAGATATTCAAAGAAAGCAGGCATGGAACAGTGATAGGAGATATACATTGAGGTTGCCAAAGTGACGTGTGACTTACCTCAACAGGAAGCTGATTAAACTGTGTCACTATACTATCTGCAGCTGTAGCTACACCAATAAGAGCAACAACCTTTCCTGGCCGTGCAATGGCAGCATGAAGCATAAGCCATCCACCCAGGCTGGATCCAACTAGTATCTGAAAATAAAAATATGTACAGTTTTAGAAAGGAATTTATTTTTCTTGTCTGTAAGGAAGAACAAGAAACTTAACAGATACTTATGCACATTTTTTCTTTTATATACATGTGACTCCTACAGATTTGGCACAAAGTAGAGGTCAATTATGATTATTTTTTTCAAAAAAAAGTATTAGTTCTGTAATACAACATGAAAATAAAAAATAAAGCTTATACAAAAAGTAAAATGCTAATTACATATTATTAGAAAGTAAAAATGATATTGACCAATTTAAATAATATTTGATTACCGATAAACTTAAAATATTAAATAAACTTTCATATCTAAAGAAATAACTCAAATATGAGGTCACAGTCAAATATTTAAATAGTTACCTGTGGTCCATCAGCTATGTTATCAATTATAGAAAGAACATCTTTTCTCCATTTCCCCACTGTGCATTCTTCTAAGACACCACCCGAATTTCCAATTCCTGAGTAATCAAACCTAGAAAAACAAAAATCTATATACCTATCTATATATTTACTTTTCTCATTTTTTTTCAGGAAGACCAATCATTCCTCATTATTATAATGCCTAAAACACATTAAAATATCAGTCACTATATATTTCAGCAAATCCGACTGGCTTAACCATCAATTATCTCTTACAGCCAATGTTTGTCACCTCTTCCACTGCTACCTGCCTGGTCCAAGTCACTATCATCTCTTAAGAAGACTAATGGAAAAGTCTCCTAATGAGTCTCCATGTTACCATTTTCCACTCTTGTAGACTAGTCTTCACCCAGTAGAGTGATCCTTTTAAAACAAAAATCATTTCTTGCATAAACTCACTGAAGGCCTTCTATAACCATCAGAATAAAACCCAGAGTCCTTATCATGCTGACTACCTCTCTGATCTCATTTCTTACTGCTTTCTCCCTCCCAACTGTATCCTCACTTTCCTTCTTGGGAAGTTAAGAGATTATACCATCCATGTTCCTGTTTTGGGATTTTTACATCACCTTTTCTTCTGCATGGAATATTCTAATTCCAGGTATCTAGTTAGATTGCAGGAGCTCTGGTGGCATAGTGCCTAAGGCACCTGACTGCTAACCAGAAGGCTGGCGGTTCAAACCCATCAGCCACTCCTTGGAAGGAAGGATGGGCAATCTATTTCCATAGTGATACTGCCTCGGAAACTCAAGGAGGGGTTGCTATGAGTCAGGTCTGACTCAATGACACATAACAACAACAACAAACAAGAGTTAGATTGCTTCTTTACTTCAATCAGACCTTTGATTTAAATGATACCTCCCCAGAAAAGCCTTCTCTGGCCATTCAATGTAAAACTGTGCTCCTTCCATCATTCTCTATTGCCTTACCCTGTTTTACTTTCTTGTAGCACTTACTTGATAATATATATTTGATTATTTGTTTGTGGTGTCTCCCACAACAGAATAGATGCTCCAGGTAGGCAGACTTTGCTTTGCTCACCACTGCTTTCCCAATGCCAAGATCAATACTCTGTACATGATAAGTGCCTAGTACATATTTAGTAAAAGGAAGGAAAAGTCCAAATCAAACTCATTGTCATCAACCCATCCACTAAGTTTGTTTGTCCTTCAGACTTCCTAGTTATCTAGGCTGAAAATGTGGTCTGTGAATTTTACCTCTCCAAGATCCAAATTCAATAAACCATGAGGTATCATACTATTCACACCAAGCCCTGTTCATACTGAACTACTCCCAATTCTTGGATAAGCCATTTCACAACTCCTAACTCTGTGCTTCTGCATGTTGTTTTGATGACTACAATGCCCAAACTTCCCTTGATATATCTGCTTCATTCAATACCAGCTAGTTTTTCCTTTGCGTGTACTCAACTAACACTTTACATATTCAGTTTTATAATCCAGTTGTAAACATTTGTCTTCCTCTGACCAGAATGTAAGTTCCTCAAGGGCAGAATGCTCTGTTTTCCAGGGTACAGAACAATGCCTGTGCTGTACCATCCTTACTCACTCTCATTCCTTCTCACATTTCATCTCTTTGCAGTTCTTCAAGGCTGGTATCTTGGTACAAGTCTTTGTCGTCTGAAACCAAGACTATCACAGTGGCCTCTTAACTGGTCTCTATGACTCTATGCTATCTCCAAATGGATCCACTCTATACCTGTCACGTTTTATTCTTAAATATTCTTTTGATATGGCATTACTTTCAATGGCTCCCTGTGACCTACAGCATAAAGATTTAGTGCTTTAGCCTGTTGTTTTTCAGACCATTATATTCTGGTCATTTCAGATCTTTTATCACTTGATCAGAGGAAACTACTGTGTTTGCCCAATTATCAACTTGCTATTCCTACAATATACTTTATGTCCTCTTGTTTCTGTTTCTGCTGTTTCCTTCACCTGAACACCTTCTCCCATCACCTTCATGCTAATATCCTCCCTCAGAGTCCACTTCAAATTAAATTGAAAAGACCTCCTACCAAAAACCAAACCACTGCCATCAAGTCGATTCTGACTCATAGCAACTCCGATTGGGTTTCTGAGGCACTAAATCTTTACAGAAGTAGACTGCCTCATCTTCCTTCTGCAGAGCAGCTGGTGCGTTTGAACCACTAACTTTCTGGTCTCCTAGACAGCACTGAAAAAAATTTCGTCCCTCATGAAACTTCTACAGATTTTTATCAGTTACAGGCATGTCTATATGCCGTTTTCTATGACCACTGCCTGTGTATATATGTGTGCACATGCATCTCATCATCCCTGTGAGATTATAAGATCTTAGACAGGAAATCCCATTATTTTATTTGTTTCTTCATTCTTCACAGTAGCTAGGCATTATGCCTTGCACACTGCAGATAATACCTATGAAACAAATACAACCAAAAAGTACAAAAAAAAAATTATTTTATTGCTTTGTTCAAATATCAAAGCTTTCTTGTTTTTCTGTATTTTTTTTGAGATATACAGCATATACAGAAGCTACGGTGATGCAGTGGTTAAAGTGCTTGGCTGCTCAAACCAGCAGTTGCCCTGCAGAAGAAAGATGTGGCAGTCTGCTTCTGTAAAGATTTACAGCCTTGGAAACCCTCTGGGACAGATGTATTCTGTCCCTATAGGGTCACTATGAGTCAGAATCGACCGGATGGTAATGGGTTTGGATTGGGGTATAACATATATATTTTTTCTTAGTGATAAGGTATTTGTAAAGGAAGGAAAGGAATAAGATATTAAATTTTCTTTAGGTTTGATGATAAATGATTAAATGACTTTGGATCATTGGGAAGTAGGACAAGGCAGCTGCTACAGTTCTAAATCAGCTGTTTCCCCTCAATCTAGGGTATATTCAGAAAAAAGAGAGGTGAGGAAGACGTCAATTCTCCTTTTCTTCCTCCTTGGGGGCAACGGGGTATTGCTACTTGTTGCATGTTTCACAGTTACGTTCCAAATATATGATGAGGATGCAAATTAATTGGGAGCCCTGTCACAAAGGAATATTAGTGTTACTGAAAAGTTACACTCTCTCTCTCTCTCTCTCTCTATATATATATATACACACACACACACACATTTCATTCTTGGTAAATCCTGATAACAGAGAAAAAGTTAATTCAAACATATTAAGTACTTTATAAGGAGCTCTGGTAGCATAGTGCCTAAGGCACTTGACTGCTAACCAGAAGGCTAGTGGTTCAAACCCACCAGCCACTCCTTGGAGGGAAGGTTGGGCAATCTACTTCCACAGTGACACCGCCTTGGAAACCCAAGGAGGGGTTGCTATGAGTTGCGTCCAACTCGACATCAAATTAACAACAAGAAGTACTTTACAACTTTAAAAAAAGTAACACAAGTTCTGTATCTGCAGCCTCAATATTCTAGAACGCAGTCCCAAATCTAGAATTAAAAGTTCTACTAGAAATAATTATGAGAGAATATTGGCCCTACAACCATGCATTATTTTCCTGAGCTCTGACTCAATCTTACTTTAGACATGGTGACAGGTAACTCAAACACATTTTCGTATGTCCACATGTACCATTTCTTATATAACACATAAAACTAAACATTATCTCATTCAAAATCTAAATTTTATAGCCAAAGTCACAAAGTAAACTGAGAAATTGGAGAATATACAAATAGAAGATAAAATTTATTGTAACAAGCTACAGTGCAATGAGTAGTAATAGTAACTAGACTACAATGAAGTTTGATAAGAGCAAATAAAAAGGAACTTGATCAAATAAAAAAATTGCAGTAAACAGCTAAACTTTTATAAAGATATATATGAGGTCTATAAACACATGCTTAAGTTATATTAATATAGTACCATTAAACAATACAATCACATTTCATGATTATTTAACTAATGTACCTTTAAAAAGAAAATGTATTTCATGCATCCAAAACGCAGAAAAGCCACATTATATCTTACGGAGAGATATGAACTGATTATAGCTTTTACATACGTTAAAATCAGTAACTGGCAAAATGGCCTTTTCTTTTTTTTTTTTTATTACCTTTAATTTAGAAATTTCAAACTTACAGAAAAGTTGTAAATGTTGGTGAGCAGATTTTTAAAACATTAGTACTAGAAAAAAAAATCTCAGAAATTATTTTTAGTCTAATCTCCTCTTTTTCAGGTAAAGAAATTAGGTCCAGTCTTTATTAACTGACTTGCCTTATCACAGTTATTTCTAGAACTAGCTCTAGAATCCATGTTTCCATTGAATTCCAGACCAACGCTCCTTCTACTGTACCACCTTATTTCTTCTGACAAATGTGATATGGTATAGGTAAACAAACCCAGTAACAGCAATATAACCAAATTATTGACTAAGATAATTGCCAGTATAAAAAATCAGGCACTGTGAAAACAAACTTTAAACACCACATATCCTTATTTAGGCTTAGACATACTCAGATTACAGGAGGAGAAAGAGAAAACCCAATGGAAACATGAGATATACAACATGGCACTAGTTTTACAATACTTTTAAATACATGTTTTATTTTTAAATACTTAAGAACTAAGGTAATAGTGGTCAAATAAAAGTCTTAAAGTCCCCAGTGAAAAACCACAATATATTACAAGAAATTACTAGTAATGCTCTTAAGATGTTACATGTTCTTTCCTGTCAGAATTATCAGTGTGACACAAAGACCTCTTTAAAAATGGAGCATCACAATCTACATCTGAATTTGAATCCACAAATTCCACTTAGCTGGATCTAAATTAGTGCTTTTACAGCAACTTTCTGTCACAAGATGAAAGTTGACAGACCACTAAAATAAATTAAATCTATAAAAATGCTGGCATTTACTTCAACTGGTTAAAGCAGAATACTTCTCCATTGCCAAGCTAAATGGTAGCAATGTTTTCTCTGAAATATGTGCTGGTTCCTACCTTATATATGCGTGACCCAGAGATTTGCAAAACTCCTCAATAGCCAGTGCTTTAGTACCATTCATATCAGAACGAAAGCCAGGGATGAAGATAACTCCTGGACTTTTGCCTTTTAACTTCTTATAAGCCAAGTTTGGAAGGTTTGGTCGACTAAGGAAAGAGAGTGATGTCTTTTGTCTGCAAGCTAAAAAAAAGTACACAAAATATAAACTATGGTTTGCAAATACAGTATGGAAAACCATAAATATTTTTAATCTTAACTTTCTTAACTCCTTGAATTAATGTCAAATATTATTTCCATTTACTAGAAAAAGAAAAAAAAACAGACTTAAAGCTTTAAAGCCACATGTCTGTGCAGATATTTAGTTTTAAAATTGTGTCAAAATCAGTACCTTCTTTGAGCAAAATAAAATCCTAATTCTTCCAAAAAACACAGTGAAGTGGAAATTCCAAGGCAACAAAAGACAGACTCATCAAAAATATTTTCCTGTTGCTGCTACATCATCTACCCTTAAGCCTATCAAACAACATTGTGATTGACCTACATACACTAGGTTCAGTCTCCTAGTGTGAGGTTTTTAGCTTTTTAATTTTTTTAATGTCTGAATAGTTTTGCATTCTCCACTTCTTGGGGAGAGGAGAGGTTTGCTCTGTTCTTGAAAACTGTTTCAAAGGCTCAAGTGCTGTGATCCCTCTTATTACTAATTCCTACCTCACCTAAGAAATCATGGGCCATGGTAACAATCAATCATAACTCAATTGAGTGGACTCAATGAGTAGTTTCTTTAGAAGTTATTTTGAACTATATATAACAGTCTCATTTTGGAAAGGGGTTTTTCACAGAACTCGGCAATTATTGTGTATTTGATTTGTTGGTTTGGCTTTCTAAGAATGGTACACACAAATTTTTGATGCAAGAGACAACTAGTGTGCCTTACAAGTACTCTAAATAAGGTTTATTTTTTTTTAAATTTCCCCCTGCCTATCAATACTTGCTCTTAAGAAATATGTAATTTTTTTTTTTTTTTAAAAACATCATTTATAATCCCACCTTCACCCTCCAAAAACGTTGTTGTTGTTGTTGTTGTTATGTGCCCTCGAGTCAGACTGACTCATAGCGACCCCTCCTTGGGTTTCCGAGGCAGTGACACTACGGAAGTAGATTGCCCCATCTGCCTTCCCAGGAGTGGCTGGTGGTAACCACCAGTCTCCTGGTTAGCAGTCAAATGCTTTAGGCACTATGCTACCAGAGCTCCAAAAACATTAGGTTTACATATTTCCTTATAGCCACTCCTCGGAAGGAAGGTTGGGCAATCCACTTCTGTAGTGATACTGCCTTGGAAACCCGTGAGTCGGGTCTGACTCAACTGCACATAACAACAATAACAACATAGTCCTTTTACTAGACCAGCATCTCTCTCTCTCTCTCTCTCTCTCTCTCTTTTTTTTTTTTTTTAATTAAATGGGGCCCTCTTCCATTTCTTGTGCATAAATAAAACTCAGCACTTTCATGTGAGCTGCTAAAACTTTCCCCATTTTGGATCTGAGAAGTTGACTTTTTTTTTTTTTTTAAACCGTATTGTATGCCTTAAAGTTATCCTTTTCACATGCAAGCTTCTTTTAAAGTTTCAACATGTAGAGAAATATGAAAATTAAAAACTTTCAGTGAAAAACAGGGCTAAGTAGGGGCCAATTATGATACATGCATTATAAATGTTGACAGATTATATCAGCAAAATATTAATTTTCCATTCCCTTAGATAAAGCACTCAAAAATCTTGTTCTTTTCCCCTATTACCACCCAACAAAGGAATTTCTCTATGAAATTATAATTTACTTAATGTTTGTTGTAAGTGGACAAGTGCTTAATATTATATCCATAAAATATCTTTATACCATATGGTTTACCTCAAAGCATGGTGCATAAAATGCTCAAGGAATGTCTGCTAAACAAAGGAAGGAGTATTATATTCTCTAGTTAAGGCACTGACATATTACACTTCACTAGTGATATTTATATATAACACATCTGTGGTCTGTGTACAATTAAATGTAAGTTAAATTAATTATAAGGAGCTCTGGTGGTGCAACCTTGTTAAGTGGGTGGCTGCAAAGGTCGGTGGTTGGAATCCAACAGCGGTTTCGTGGGAGGAAAGATCTAGCAATCTGCTCCCATAAATATTCCCCACCCACTGTTAACGAGTCGATTCCGACTTGTAGGGACCCTACAGGGCAGAGAATTCCCCC